CAGTATCTTTAAAGGCATACTCAATGGCTTACTAAGCTAGTTAGAGCAAAACTTACTAACTACATATATATATATATATATATATATATATATATATATATATATATATATATATATATATATATATATATATATATATATATATATATATATATATATCAGGGTGTAAACTAGCCCTGTGGCGCCCCGTCAAACGCGGTTTTCCCAAATGCTCATAAAATTAAAATTCCCAATTTAAAGATGAAAAAATCCCATTCTCCAAAAAAAGTTTCCAAATTAAAGTTTAATAATAATTTTAAAATTAATTATTATTTAAAACTAATAGAAAAATAACATTGAAAAATTCCAATTCATTAATTGCGTAAAACATGAGATCAAATCGCCATTATTGGTAAAAAAAACGCAATTGCATAACTGCGAAAACTGGTTTCTTGGAAAAAAACATAATGAGAATTGGGATTTTTGGAGCGATTTTTGTGAAAATTTGTGGCAACTTGCAATAAAGTTTAAAAACAGTTTTTTGCAATTCATTCCAACAACAGCAAATATTATATAAAAAAGTTAGCAAGAAATAAAGTACTAATCTAAAAGATCCAAAATAATGACAAACTTGTTTGGTTTAACATCTGCAAATGCTATTTCTTTAAAAGTTTTGCCCTTTTTAGCTGAAAAGTTAAATAACTTATTAAGTCTTACCGTAATCTCAACTTAAAGTAGTACATATATTTCGTCAAAAAAAATATCGAGAAGGTTATGTCAGATACCTTTTGATCAATTACGGTTATTACGGAAAGTCTTTTAGTTATTGTTTTTTTTTTGTTTGTTTGGTGTTTTATATTAACTGAATTTGCTAATGTTTTTTATTTTTTACTGGTATTCTTCAATGACACGCGTGCAATTGCTTGCTAATAATAATACTCTATAATTTAACGACATTTGTGGTTGTTTTTGCTGAGACTTTGTGATTATAACTTTATTTCGCTATGTGATTTATGTATAAAATAAAATTTTATTAATTATAAAATTGAACTCGCAATAAGTGTGAAATATGAAATTTATGAGCTCGTGTTTACTATTTTTAAAACCTTATCTATTTTCAAAAAATTTCTTTTGATAACACATGATGATATAAGGGTTCGTCCGTAGAAGTATCATTGGCTCATTGAATATATATATATATATATATATATATATATATATATATATATATATATATATATATATATATATATATATATATATATATATATATATATATATATATATATATATATATATAACAGCTATATTTTTTGAAAATATTGTTTTTGGGACGAACTTATAAGTATGATCATACTTATAAGTTCGTCCCAAAAACAATATTTTCAAAAAATATAGCTGTTACCTCCAAATGTGTTTTATATAATAAAAAAACACTGATTTTAAAATTATTTTGAAGAAAAAATATTTTTGGAGTCCCTTAAATATATAACGAGTTCCTAATATTATCAATAAAAAATCTTCAAAAGTGTCTTCAAAAATTCTTCGCCAAAAAATTTTTTTAGTAAAAAATTATTTTTGGAGTCCCATAAATGAGTTCCTAATATTATCAACAAAAAAAATCTTCAAAAGTGTATTTTGACATTTTGTATCAAATTAAGCGAAATCATGAAAATTTCAAATATGATAATTATATTATAAAAAACTTATTGAAAAAAAAAATAATGCAAAAAAATTGGTAAAAATGCACTATTTTAATTTTTAGGTAATAAACTTCATTTTTTATGGTGTTAAATCTAACATTGAAATTTTTATATAATTTTGCTTCATTTGAGACCCAACATGATACACTTAAATAATTTTTTTTTTAATATTAGGAACTTGTTATGTTCCTTGGGGTCTAAAAGAAACATAACAAGTTCCTAAGGGTCTTCAAAGGGAGTCATCAAAACATTTTTTATTCAAAAAATTTTAAAAACCAGGTTTTTTTATTATATAAAACACATTAAGCATACATTTTTCAAAAATGTTCTTTTTGGGAAAACCTTATTAAATAATAATATTTTTTAATTTACTATAATTAACTTGAGATAAATATGTTTTATATTGATGATATTTTTCTTGTCATCGCTTCTACTTTATTTCGATATAAAAATTTAATATATAAATATATATGTATATATATGTATATATCAACTTTTTTTCCATATAAAAATTTGTTTTTACTGTTATGACTATTTCCTTATATATCAAAGTGCAATTTCATTAATTATTTTGTTAATTACTATTTTTCTGACTATATATATATATATATATAATATATATATATATATATATATATATATATATATATATATATATATATATATATATATATATATATATATATATATATATATGTATATATATATAAATATATATATATATAGAGAGAGAGAGAGAGAGAGAGAGAGAGAGTCAGAAAAACAGTAATTAACAAAATAATTAATGAAATTGCACTTTGATATATAAGGAAATAGTCATAACAGTAAAAACAAATTTTTATATGGAAAAAAAGTTGAAGCATTGAACAGAAAAATGTCATACATAAAGAACATATTTATCTGAAGTTTAAAAAAAAATTATTGAAGTCCTACAGTCAGATTTTTAGAAAATTGATTTCAAATAAATAAACAAATCTATAATTTACACTAAAAAGGTATTAAATAAAAATAAAGTTTAAACACGCAAAGATTTCTGTTACCTCTATTTTTATATTTTTTTGTGAAATTTTTGTATTTTTATATTGATTTACGTTAAACATAAGGCTACATTATTGGCTTTTCAGAAATTAATCAACAAATGATCTGTTGCCATATAAAATATTCTCTGTAGTTAAGTACACGTAGCCATTTTAAAAGTTCAAAAGTTTTTCGTATTTTCTTACGCATGCGTACCTAAACATAACGCTTTTTACTAATATCTAAACGACCGTGTTTAACGACTTCGCTATATTTACAAAGGTTTACACATTTCAAAGATATATCTTTAAAATTAGCTTACACAAAAAAAAAATTGTGTTACTAGCAAAAGTAAGAGTTTAATTTTTTTGTTTAAGTAGAATATAGAGCTTTTATTTAAAAATTAGTTGCTCGTAATGCCCTCCCTGACAAGTAAAAAACGGCAAAACTCTCTAATAAATTTCACTCATAATATTTATACTATCTAAATAGAGTATTATAGCTAAATTGAAAAACTACTTTTTTTTGTATTTAAATATAATTTTATATGTATTTTTGAGAATGAATCTTGTTTAAATTTTTTTCTAGAATGATTTGAACATACAAAAAATTAAAACAGGGAGAAAGGAAATCTTATTCAAACAGGCTAGAAATGATAGATGCCTGCAATCCTGTTTTAAGGAAAGAAATCTCCATAAACCAGGCATCCAAACATTTAGATGTGACAAGAGAGCTCTTTCAAAACGAGTAAAAGGTGAGCAACCTATGATATGATGCTCATCCAGGACGAAAAATCGTTTTAACTTCACAGCAGGAAAAAGAGTTGTCAGAATGCCTTATTTTGTTGGCTGATTGGGGCTGGTGTTTCACTAAAGGTGAGGTAAAAAATATAATTCAAGATTTTGTTAGAAAAAAAACAACATTTATACAACCTTTTTAGATTGTCGACCTAGTAAAGACTGGTTGCATACTTTTTTGCTGCGAAATCCTGAAATAACACCAAGAAAAACTGAACATTTAAGCAATAGAAAAAGCCATACTGAAACCATCAAAATATAGTTTAATTTAGTTGAAAAAACATCGAGAAATACAGGAATTATTAACCTTCCTATGTTTTATCGTCGCGTCGATTTAATTTAATAACGTTTATAATCTATAGCTTTATATATTCTTTCTAACATCCTATACAAAAATCTTTTCTCTATATATATTAAATTAAAAAGTCCCATGAGAATATACTGTTAATTACAGTTGAAATAACTTACGTAGATGCGTGACTTTCAACACGCATCTACGTGATTTCTAACACGTACAATTCACCAACATAATAATAGAACATGCCCTCTTGGTGAATTAACTCATAAGTCTAATCTTTGTGGGGGCTTTACTGTTCGTCCGGAGCGTGTTACTTGCAGCACGTTGAGTTCTTGAGAATCATTTTGAACTTGAGCGACATCATCATTATAACTTCCTTTAACGTTATCAGTTTTATCGTTTAGTCTATAAAAAACATCGTTGACTGATTCATTTGAACTCTGTACGTCTGTACGGCGACGCAGGTGTGAAATGTGACGCGGATATACCCGATTCGCAGTTTCCACGTCAAACGACAAAGTATTTTGCTTTCGTACTACGCCTGGTATCCACGGCTGGTCACATTTTGTTTCTTGAGTTGGTTTTACCCAAACATTGTCACCCACTTTGAATTTCTTGCTTACGCCTTTCTCGTCTACCTTCCTCCGAGTATCGACGCCTGGGATGAAACATGTCGATCTTTTCTTGAATTGCTTGGATGGACTTTCAGTACAATTGGATGATATTGTCTCGTTGTACAGCAAGACTGCCAGAGCGATTGAACAATGTGAGCGAGCGACCGTTCTTTTTATCGTTCTGTGTATACGTTCAACTATACCATTACCTTGAGCTCGATGTGCTGCTCGATATTCCAAATTAACATGCCATTCTTCAGCAAAACTTGTTAACGTGTTGGACCGAAATTCGTTGTCCATTAGAAGACATACTGGCGGACCAAATAAAGAGAATATTTCTTCGAGTCTACCAACAACTTCAGCAGCTGCTTTAGTTGCAAGTTTGCGCCATATTGCATACCGTGATGGACCACAGTCAATCATTGATAAGTACAGTTCAGCACCTACATGCGTCACGTCAATGGCAACCCGATTCCAATTTTTTTCTACGCTTAGTTGGCCATTCTTCCACTTTACGGAGTAAGGATCAATGGAGTTACACTGGTTACAATTCGCAATTACTGCTGAAACCTCCTTACGTGATACATTCTGATTATTTCGCAAGCAAAGTTGTAATGTTCGAGCAACACCAAAATGACCAATTGAATGAATTTTCCATGTCTTTTTGTTCAAGTAATCCAGCTGCACACACTGTTCTGCACCATTTTTGAGGGATTCGTGAGAGTCGATCAGCCAAATTTATCTCAGATGGAATCCATTGTACTGCGATCTGAATATCTTTTGCCACTTCCTTAATAGTATTCAATCGTCTTTGTACTAACAATTGAGAAATTCCCCGAGTTTTTACGCGATATTCTTCCTTCAAAACTGCGTTTAACCATTCTACGGTGCTCTTGCTATCACTGTATACTGTTAACTCTTTTATGCCCCACTTACTAGCTAAGTTTAGTCCTCGAAGTATAGAATCCAGTTCACTTATATTGATATGGTGTGTGTCACTCGCTGGCCGTAGCCATGCTGCGTCTTCAACAACTACTCCACCAATAAGCAGAACTACCCCAAGTCCTATAGATGATGCATCACAATAAAGCTCAGCTTTTCCATTAACTGGTACCAGCCATTTTCCACCAACCGGATCCTCTTTTTCCACACGGTAAAGCAACTCTTTCAGTTTTTCTTTACAATCTTCAGAAATAAAATCACACCAAGGTATATTTCCAGCTAAACGTTTGATGTATGAAGCTTGTAAACGCAAACTTCCTGCCACTGGGTAATGTCCAATAAGTTTGCCTAACTGGCTGAAAAGCTGTGATCGTGTGACTGCATTTAAAGATTCGAATTGTACCACATTGTCTCGTTTCCATATCAGTTCCCCATTTTTATTTCTTTCGACTCTCAATCCTAAGACACGTCCTTGTTCAAGATCTTGTGGAGGTTTACATTGTAATCCGAATTTAAGCAGATGCTTCGCTACATTTTTTGCAGTTTCCACGTTTTCATCCACAAAAATATCATCAATGTAGTTATCACATGCTTTCTTTACGGTTGGATTTAAATTGAGCACATGCCGAAAAATTGTGGTCATTATTGTTGGAGTCACATTGATGCCAAAACACATCCTGGTAAAACAATACCGTTGCCGATTTATAATCACCGTTTGATATGGCCAAAGTTTTTTATCAATATGAATTTGGAGGTAGGCTTTTTTAAGATCGAGAATTTTTGCATTTTTTATTTTTCTCAAGCAACGCAGTTTTTCTTGACAAACGTCCGCATTTGCCGTATGACAATTTACAAATTCGTTGAGAGCTCGGAAATCTCCCACTGGACGTACCTTTTTGTCCTTGTTTTCTTGCACTACGCACATAAGCGGTATCAATACTTTTGGTGGTCTCAATATTAGTTCGTTATATGGTACAAAAATACCAGAGTCACCACATTTCGCTTTGTCACATGCTAACATTCGGACGTTACAGTTTTTATTACCATAAATGATAACTCCTCCAAATTTTTTAATTGCATTCATTCCAAAAATCAAATCAAACCCAAATGGTTTTTCTTTTACAACCAGAGAATTAACCATCCGGTGTATTCCATCCATTTCCAGATTGATTACCATTTCACCCAGCACTTGCACAGTTCCTCCCAAAGTTGTGATAAGTTTTTGACTTTTTAACACAAGCCCATGCGCGGACTCAGCATGAACCACAGTAATGGAGCATCCAGAATCAATTAATGCTGTTCGAAGCCTTCCATTTATTTTCACTTTTAATGATGGCAACGTCATTTCTGGGAGAATACTGGATGCCATTATTTCCAGATTCTCCCTTTTCCTCTTAAACCTTGCAATCGTTTAAAGCAGTTTTTAGCTTGGTGATTGTGTGAACAAGTCTTGCATTTTTCTTCGCAGACCCTTGCAAAATGTCCAAGTTTTCCACAATTGAAACATTTAACTTTGTTTATGTCGGACGCACCAGACGTCCGTGAAAGTAACGATGTTGCGCCAATCATTACATTCTCGGAACCATCTAATTGTCGAGCTTCCTGGGTTACTCGGTCAAGGGTAACAGCTATTTCCACAGCCTTTTCAAAAGTTAGTTCTTCAGATTCCAGTAGTAACCGTTTGATTGTAACACCATCGTTAAAACCCGTGATGAATTGGTCGCGCATTCGATCATCTCTATCCGTGAATTTGCATCCTTCAGCAGCTCTTGTAATCCGTCGTGAAAATTCCGTCACATTTTCGTTACTTGCTTTTTTTATAGTTGCAAATTCAAAGCGTAGTATTAACAATGACTTCGGTTTAAAAAGCTTCATGATGTTTTCCTCGATGTCTTCTAGGTAACTGAGTCATCTTCAGGGTATGCAGGCAAGCATAGATCTTCTAGTGCGGAATAAATCTGTGGTGGCAAACATGTTAATATTATTGTTTTTCTTTTGGATTTGGGTACGTCCATCGCAGTTATGTATGTTCGTAGTTGGCGGACGAACCGCTGATGGTTGCCATCGAATACCGGTGGCATAATGGCCGAAATAGCTTGTTTTATCGTCGCGTCCATTTAATTTAATAACGTTTATAATCTATAGCTTTATATATTCTTTCTAACATCCTATACAAAAATCTTTTCTCTATATATATTAAATTAAAAAGTCCCATGAGAATATACTGTTAATTACAGTTGAAATAACTTACGTAGATGCGTGACTTTCAACACGCATCTACGTGATTTCTAACACGTACAATTCACCAACATAATAATAGAACATCCTAGTCAAATATTTAACTCTGATGAAACAGGATTCATCATTGACCCAAAAGAGCAAATTGTATTAGCAAAACGAGATGCAGCTAGAGTGTCGCAGAGCATTGGTGGCTTTGGCCGGGAAGAAATTACTGTAAACTGTGCATGCTCTGCTAACGGACAGATATTGCCACCATATGTAATCTACAAATGAAAAAATTTGTATATGGACTGAGTTAAAGGTGGCCCTAATGGAGCTGTTTATACTGCTAGTAATAAGGGCTGGATGGAGTGTCTTCTTTTTTTGGAATGGTTTCAAAATATATTTCTAATGTATACAAAACATCTTGCAAACCGCACACGTGTACTTATATTTGATGGCCACATTTTTTATATTAGCTCCCCGCTTATTAATTTGTTAAATAAAAAATGTTATTCTTCTGCGCATTTCTGCTCACCTTACCCATCTTCTTCAACCTTTAGATACAACTGTTTTTCGACCAGTGAAAAGTAAATAACAAAGTTTAATTCTAAAATATGCAAGAACACTTAATGGACCAGTCTCAAAAAAATATTTTCCAGAATTACTACGCACCCTTTTTCAGAGTTCTTTTACTGTGGAACAAATCAGTTGGTTTTAAAGGAACTGACATTTTCCCTCTAAACAAGGATGCTATTGGCACACGTTTGTTTAATCGATGTTTTTAGTTACCAGTAAAGAAACCTACATTAACCACTTTTGAATCAGTATATTCTATCATAATCAATCATTAAAACACGGAGGGGGGAGAGACTCAAAAAGTATATATATATATATATATATATATATATATATATATATATATATATATATATATATATATATATATATATATATATATATATATATATATATATATATATATATATATATATATATATATATATATATATGTATATATATATATATATTATTATTATATATATATATTTTTTTTTTTTATTATTATATATATATATATATATTTTATTATTCATATATTTGCCGTACATATAAGATTTACAAGTTTCGTAAATTAAAAGTTGTAATATTTACAAGTCTCGTGAGTCAAAATATATTGTGAAATTTATAATTAAATAGTACAGTCCGGACTTCAAGAAGATTGTAATGATCTTATCGCAAAGCCCTTACAATGTGTTTGATATATATTATAATTATGTTAAATAAAATTATATATTAAGTACAACTATATTTTTATATTCTTTAAATTAAGCTCATAATAAAAAATAAACTCAAAATAAGCTCAGTATAAAATATTAGACATAACAAGCAGCATAATAACTAAACTTGATAAGAAAAAATCAAGTGTTTTTTTTGTGTGTAATAAACAGTTTTTGATATATTGTTTGAGAAAGGTAAGAGTCGTTTAGATAATACACATAAACGAGTCAGTTCATTTTGTAGTTGATATATATGTATTTTAATTTATAGTCTTAGAAGAATTCTGAGTATCTGTGTAGATTCAGTATCAGATTTTTTAACTTTTTTTTCAAGGATTTTTGATTATCTAGATTGCAAATTGATTTATTTTTAGTTACTAGTTTGTTGTATAAATAAGGACCCCGATATGAAATTGAGTACTGGGAAAGTTTTGTTTTTTGAAAGGTGTAATAAAGTTTCCTTTTTCTCTTGTGTCATATTTATTAACTTATTTATAAAAAAGTTATTTAAAAAATGGTTTGGTACTTGACCTAATTTAAATTTTAGCATAAACAATATATTTTGGTAAATGTTAATTTGATAAATATTAAGCACATTCATTTCTTTAAGTAAGGGTTCAGCGTGTGTAAATTTGTCTTTATGGTAGATTAGTCTTACAGCATGTTTTTGACGTCGATATAAAGTTTTCAATTTGGTTATCTGTGTACTCGCCCAAGCTATATTCGCATATATGAGGTAGCTATGTATAAAAGAGAAACATATAAGTTTTAAATTACTTTGCGACAGAATAGGTTTTGCTTTATAAAGTAGACCTATGTTTTTTGATATTTTAGTGTTTAAAGCATTTATGTGAGCTTTCCAAGATAAATTTTCATCAATTATAACTCCTAAAAATTTAGTTTCGTGAGTTCTCTCAATTACTATAATTTCTATTTTTAGAGAGGGTAGAGTATTTGGTAGTGTGTTTCTTTGTTGGTTTGAATGAAATAAAGTGTATTTTGTTTTTTCTATGTTTAGGGATAACTTATTTGTTTTAAACCATATATTTAATTTTTGGAGTTCTATGTTTACATTATCGTACAGATCCTTGATGTTTGTCGAAGAGTAAAATAAATTTGTATCGTCTGCAAACATTATAAAGTCAAGTTTGCTAGAAACTTTTGAAAGGTCGTTTATATAGATTAGGAACAAAAGAGGAGCAAGAATCGAACCTTGAGGAACACCACAAGTTAGTTTTAATAATTTACTGTGGTAATTATCATCTGTAATAACACACTGTTGTCTGTTATACAGGTAACTTTTAAACCACTGCAGTGTATGGTTTTTTAATCCGTATTTTTCCAACTTTTTTAGTAGGATTTCATGATTTATTGTGTCGAACGCTTTTGACAAGTCTACAAAGACTCCTAATACGAACTTCTTTTCATAGATTGATTCACTAATTCTATTGACGAGGTCTACGATAGCATGCTCTGTCGAGTGCTGAGTTTGAAAACCATATTGGTTTTCATTCAGGATTTTGTTTGTGGTTAGGTATTTATATAAACGATTGTAGATTATTCGTTAGAGCAGTTTTGAAAATACGGGAAGGATTGATATTGGTCTGTAATTATTTAAAGAGGATGTATCTCCGGATTTATAGATAGGAATAATTTTTGCTACTTTTAAATAGTCGGGTACAATTCCTGTAATTATTGAAGAGTTAAATATTTGAAAAATGGGTTTACTTATTTCTGGGAAGACATTCAAAATTATATTGGCTGGGATATTGTCGATACCTGGACCTTTGTTAATTTTTAATGTTTTAATTGCTGTTTCAAGTTCTTCGTATTCTAGTTCTTTAAAAACTAGGGAGCAACGAGAGTCCTCGATGTAATTCTCAAATGAATTGTTTGTAGGTTGAATTTTAGAGGCGAGTTTGGAACCTATACTTGCAAAGTATTTGTTAAATTTTTCAGAGATAATTTTTTTATTATTAAACTTTTTTTCACTTATGAGAACTTTTGGAGGTAGTTGGTTCGAGTTTTTTTTATCTCTACCAATTATTTCTTTTATAATATCCCAGATTTTTTTATTATCTCCTTTAAATTTTTGTATTTGTTTTGAAAAATATAGTTTTTGAATTTTAATTTTATTTTTTCAAATAGATTTTTATATTGTTTATACTTAGACAAATTAATATCGTTTCTATTTTTTAGATATTTTATGTAGAGTTTTTGTTTTTGTTTTGACGATTTTCTTATTCCTTTGGTAATCCATGGAGTGGTTAGGTATTTCGCTTTAATTACTTTTACGACCTTTGGAAAATGTTTATTGTAGAGATTTAGGAAAATATTTATAAACTTATTGTAAGCGGAATTTGTGTGTCCGAGGTTACATTCATGATATATTTTTGACCAATTTACTACCGCTAGTGAGTCTTTTAGTTTTTGGGTCGAAAATTTATTTATGCTTCTTTTGATGATTTTTATTTTCAAATTATTGACACGTGTTGCTTGTTGTGATAGTGAGAAGTAAATTGGGAAGTGGTCAGATATATCCGTTTTAATTATTCCTACTTTTAAGGATGGATCTTGAATTGAATTCGTCAATATATTGTCTATAGCTGTAATTGAGGTGGGAGTTACCCGGGTGGGTTTGTTTATAATTGGGAAAATGTAATGTTGTATCATATCATCGAAAAAAAATTTGGTATTAGCGTGTTCATGATAGGTAATTTAATAGCTTTTTATGTTCAACATTGCTTTTTGTATATATTTGTTTCATAAAATTTGAAAACATTATAATATCTCCATCGGGCGGTCTATAACAAGAGGATATTAGGAGATTTTTTGTAGTATCATTAATGACTTCGACTGTAAAGAAACT